GGGCGCCTTCCAGTCCTTGAGAGTCTGAATGAATGGAAAGGCAGGGGTAGGGTGAACTTGAGCTGTCTGTTGCTTTCCTATTTCCCGTCTGGGACATCAGTGCTCTGTCTGCTAGATCTTCAGCCAGACTGAGTCTGCCTGGTTCTTGGGCCTTAGACTTAGGCTAGAACATCGTGATGTGCTCTCCTGGGCCTTCTCAGCCTCTGCTCTGTTGCTCTAGAGATCCCTGACTAACACAATCACAAGACTTCTGATTTCACAGATCTGCACGGGAAAACCCTGGGACTGCGCACGGCTGAGCACAAGGCTAAAATTCAGTTTAGAAGCCACATGTATGATAAAACCCCCAAAGCCTCCCTGGCTGTACAGGCAAAAGCAAACCTCCTTCCAGGGGAACCCCACAGATTTTGGACACCTGAATCTCTGGCCAACACTTGAAAGCCAGATTTCACGTACAAATCAAAAGTCAAGCTTTGGTTTAAAAGGACTAACTGGCGACTTGGTAAAAAGCCACTGAACTCCCAGGGTCTCATCTTCCGGATCCATGACGCAGAGCTGGGTTGGTCCCCACTGCACGAGCACTGTCATTTTGTTTGTGTTACAATTTATTCCACCCACTGGGCTCTTGAAGGCAGACACAGTGGCCACCTGCAAGTTTATATTAGGGTTGAAGTCCTAGCTCTCAAAGTGAGGAGTTAATTACAGGATTCCTGCTTTGATCTGGGCATCAAGATTGCTGATGGAGCCATATAAGTCACTCAGCAAACATTTATGGTTCATCTTTGTGCTTCTCCACAGCACCTGATGTATTGTACTGTTTGTTGACTGACGAGTTGCCCCCACTTGAATGCAGCTCCTCGAAGGGAACTCAGGCAAGGATTCTGCTGTGTGCACCATTGTAACCCCGTTCCCTGACCCTGTCTGTGCCACCCAGGAAAACCTGGTGGCTGATCTGTCTCAGCCCCATTTTGGATAACCCGGCTACAGTGGCGGGTGCTCTTTAACTCCAAATAACGTGCAAGGCACTGACCAATCCCATGGCCTGTCAGACCCTGGCTAGTGACCTTCCCTCTCCCAGTTGTCCCAGTAACCACAGGAGGGCTGTGGCACAGGAGAACCAGCATCAGCTTCTGTCCACAGCCAGCCAGCGGGAAGCCCGGAAGCAGGCATGGGGATGAACCCGAGTAGCCTGACCTCTGCCCTCTCACCTTACACCCCTGCACCCTACACTCACCGGTTCACTTACACAGTAGCCCTCCATCATTTCTCAGACACTGTGCAGCAGGAAAAGGTAGGAAAGCCAGGTTTCCAACTGCAGACTAAATAAATAGATGAATTCAACTAGTCATTCAACAGACATTTAGCACTTTCTATATGCCAGATATGGCTCCAGACTTGGGGATATAAAGACAGACAAAGATACATGTTCTCAAAGATTGCATGCGTACTAGTGGGTGCAGGAGGAGACGGGCAGCAAACCAAATATTTAAACTGTATGTTAAATGATAACAAATGCTATTAAAACAAGTTGGGAAGGGAACTGAGAAAAAGTCCCAGAGATGGGGAGGGATATTTGGGAGTTATTTTATATTTTAAAATTTGTGTATGTATTTATGGGTTACTTTGTATATCTTTATGGGTTATGTTATAATATATGTACATGGCGTGGAATTTGCAAATCAAGCTAATTAACATATTCATCATTTAACTTAACTTTTATTTTTTTTGAGACAGGGTCTCACTCTGTTGCCTGCCCAGCCTTAAACTCATGACTGGCCTTCCTCAGTCTACCAAGGGGATTACAGGCAGACATGAGTTCCTGTGTGACACATATCTTTTTTGTGGAGAGAACATTTGAAATTTAGTCTCTTCGCAATTTGTAAATACAGATGCGTATCAATGTACAGAGAAGTGACATCCCGATAAACTTGCAAGTTTGAGAATATCATACATTGCCAATTAAACGTATTTAAACTACCAGCCATTGTGGCTGAGCCTAGAACCCTTGAATTAACCTATATTTGGGCCAAATCACAAAGCCCATTCTATACTAAAGTGTTGACTATCTCACCGAACTCAGTACTGTTCCCAGCGTGAGAGCCAGAGTGGCTGTGTGGGTATGGCTTGCACTGCTGTAAAGCTAAAATATCCTAAGCTGAGTCATCATAAATCAGGGGCCAAATATGAACACGACATCATTATTAACTACGGTCAGCATGCTGTGCAAAATATCTCAAATACCTTCTGTTCTTCGGAAGTGAAATTTTGTACCCTTCAGCCAACATCTCCCCATGTTTGCTGGGGTGGGGTGTATGTGACTTTGAGTAGAACCCTGAGACGGGGGGGGGGGGCATGCCATTCCTGCAGGAGAAATGGCCCCTCAGAGAGCAGCAGAGACGGGGGGCGGGAGGCGAATAGGAGGTGTGACTGTTTTTGCACCATCTTTTCAGGAATATTTATGTAGCTCAGCAGCACAGCACCTGCTTGGCAAATATGAGGTCCTAAATTCAATTCCTGCTATCCCCAAATAATTAAAGGAATATTTATGTACCCTTGGAAGACAGGCAGAGTGCTTTCCCTCCAGCGTAGAGGGCAGATGTATATGCTACCCATCGTAGTAGGGATGCTGACAGTGAAAGCCCAGGGTTTCCTAAGCTCGGGGCTCATCCGCGGTGATGCCTGACTCCCATTTGGGTGGGCTCTGTGCTGCTGCGTAGGACTTGGGTGACCAGAGAAACCAGAGATCGGGACGCTCTGCTCATCGTGCAGTGATGATGGGGCCTTTGACTCTGCAGCCTATTCCTCTGCCTGACTCTGCAGACGGGGCAGGTTAACGTGTTAGTTCGAAGTAGGACAAGGAGGTCCTTCCTCAGAGGGATGGTATCAGAGGCAAAAAATGGACAACCAAATGAACAAATGCAGGAATGAATGGAGATTCAGAGACCGTCTTTTCTGCAATTCAAAACAGTAGCCATGACCGGTCCTCAGGGCAGCTACACACAGAGCAGGTCACTCCCTTGTGGGTCAAATGGGCCCGAGGGAGCCTGATCACATCTGTACTTGGCGTGTGACAGGAGCAGACGATTTCCTGGTCACACAAAGACTGCAGAGACAGCTTGGAGGCAGATAGATCTGAAGGGGCCCGGCTCAGGGCCCCCATCTCAGCGTTGCAGAGTTGCAGGGGTCTGACGGTTCCCTGCCCTCCCCAGACTGCATTCCTGCCCTTGGGGCCAGAAGGTTCAGACAGAAGGGTGCCCCCCACACCCTGCTTCCTTGTGGCCACCCCTGCAGGAGCAATCCCGAGAAGTCAGGGAGCTTCCGGGCCTGGACTCAGACCCCTCCATCCTGCCCACCAGTCTGCACACAGAGGTCTGTGTCACTTGTCATCCGCTCTTTCACCTCCTCGAAGCTATTCTCCTTCCCCTCCCACAGAATGGCCTCACTCCAGGGCTCCAGGACAATCAGACTTGCCAGGCAAGGGGTTTAGAGCACGGGCCTGTGGGAGGCTGAGCTGAGTCCAGGTGATCCCCTCAGGCTCACCCCCAGGAGGCCCCGGAGGATTCACAGGTTGTGGGGGATGGAAAGGAGAGCCCTGCTCTCTTGGCTGGCCCTGATTTCCTCAGCTGGGTCTGCCTCTGGCCAGGAAGGAAACACCTGGAAGGATAGGAGCCCATGGCGCGGGGTGGGAGGCATTGTTCCCGGGGACAGGAGCCCAGCAGGATCCGAGAGGCCAGGACTGCAGGAGGACATCCTAGAATTCCTGTCCCTCACGCTAGCCTAGCCTGGTTGCTCCGGGAGACCGCACAGCAGTAGTGGTCCCCAGGGAGAGGCAGGGTGGCACAGTGTCCCCTGCCACATCGCCTAGATTTCATCTGCATTGTTGCTAGAGCCTCTTGGGTCAGTTGCTTAAAACCTTTGTGCCTCAGTTCTCTATTTTTAAAGCAAATCTGAGCAGTATCTACCCCGTAGGGCTGTCATGAGGGCCAAAGGAGGTAATATCTGAAAACCACCCAGGGCTGATGAAGGAATAGGCAGGCTTGTGCCTGCGAGGGCTCCCCTAACTCGACATTTTAGCAGCCAAAGGGAGCCCCTCGCTGTCCGTCCCTGGTCCTGACCTGTGCATCCCGTTCCTGCTTCTGGGTTCGCCTGCTCCGTCCCCCTCTGCTGGGATTCCCGTCCCTCACTTCTGCAACCAGGCCCTTCCCTCTCTGAAGCCTCAGCTCAAGTGCCCCCGTTCCCAGGTCCCTCCCTGAGGCCACCCCGGGACACCTCTCTCCCTCACCAGCCACACAGCCTGCCTTCCTGGGTACTCCAGGGCACTGTACTTTCTCTGTCAGACCAGGCCATGCCTCTGCTCCCAGGATGGTCAGCTCCTCGAAGACAAAGGAGAGGCCTCCGCCATGCTCTGCACATGGGGAATCTCTGGAGCCCTAAGTGTAGATGGAATCAGCCAGACCAGTGTGATCCAGGAGAGGAATGAACCAGTGATATTCCAGAAGGGTCCTAGACAAGGACCCAGGTGATACACTTTGACTGCTTCGGTTCCACCCACCCTGCAATCTCTGGCAAGTTGCTTTGCTTCTCTATGCCTCTAGTCTCCTGATCTGTAAAATGGGCATGAAGCTTTTCAATTGCTAACTACAGTCAAATGAGATAACAAGGGTATGCTGCACCAGGGGCATGGATCCTTAGCTTTATTAGCACTAGAATGCTAGCAGTCAAGGAAAAGAAAGGAGAGGTTCTTTACAGGGCCCTGCACTCTTTTACGGTATGACGATGGGTTGAGTGATCATGACCGTGCAGAGCAGTCCTAGGAACTGTCACATTTGGGTAACCCTGCTCAGGAAGACAGGTTTCAGCAACCGCAGACTTGCATTCCTAAGAGCCAGAGAGGACCTGGCTCTTCTGAGGCTCTTCCTGCCAGTCCCCCTGCCTGCTGTTTCCCTGCTCAGATTTCTCCTGGATCCCTCCCCAGAGACCAGCATCCAGCCAGCACCCACCTTGGCCTGGTTACAGCTCCTCAGCACCCCAGGTCTTCTGGCAGATGAGTTCTCCCACAAGGCTAGCAGCCCTGTGGAGTCAGAAGTCTGGAATGAGCCGCACCGAGGGTCTTCAGGCCTGACTGCTGGCTTCAGATTTGCAAAGAGCCTAGCGTTTGTTTCATAGGCCAGTGCTGTCCCTCCCCTTCCTTCCCCTTCACTGGCCCTCGAAGCTCCTCCCAGACACATCCTGCTGTGAGGCTGCTTTCTGTGGTCACTGACAGTTACTGGAGGTTCTGTATTCTGATCTGGTGCAACTGACCCCATCGGGCAGCACAGGGCACCTCTTCAGAGACCCACCCTGGTGCCCACGAGGCAGTGGCACAGGAGCCCTGACCTCTCTCCTCTCTCCTGAGCTGCTAACCCTTCCCCACCCCAGACATCATCCGCCAGAGGTCCTTCGAGCACGTCCGACCCAAGAAACACAAACTGAGCTCACCATTTCCTGCAGGGCAGGCCACTCTGCTACTCACCTCAAAATGGAAACCTCTCCCTTCCTTACCTGTTGCATCTAAACTGCACCATGTCCTGTCAATATTTCATGAATGGTCCACTTTTTCCCACACCTGTGGTCGCCACTGCCTTATGGCCACTTTGAAAAAGTTAGACTCTACATTTTCATCCTGTCGGGCCTGAGAAGCAAAGGTTGTTGGGGCTGGAGAGAGATGATTGCTGACAGCATGATTTCAATGCCTGGATTCAACTGTGCCTGAAACCCTGATATCTGAGCTTGAGCTGATCGGTTATACAATCAATAAATTCCCCATCATGTTGGAGGAAGCCTGTTTGAATTGGGGTCCTGCCACTTGCAACCGAAGTGCTCTGGAGCTCGGATGTCACTCATCTTTGTCTGGGGGGCCCTGACTGGATTCATTCTGACCTCTCACTTTGCAGAGGAAGCCGCTTGAGAAAAGCTAGTCCAGAAATGCAAGTCGTGTGCTGCCCCACCTCCTTCCCAGGTCTCTCTGTGTTCTGTCCCCTTTCTGTGACCAGACTCACACCCTCTCTTGCATCTTAATGGATCACAGTGCCTCTGTCCCCTTGATAAGTTCTGGGAGAGCAGGGGCCAGTGCTAATCTGTTATTCTCTGCATCACAAGACAAGAGACTATCATGAGGACGCTCAGCTTAAATTAAATTAAATAAACGCTCAGCTCAAATTAAATAAAGCAAATGAATGAACCAAGGAACTAAATAAGCTGAGGACACAATAAAGGATAGAGACCTCAGCCCCGGAGGCTCAGGCTTTGCAGTGGCCAGCAGCAGGCCCTCACGGGCAGCCCCCTCCGCTTATCAGCTTTGGCCTAACTGAATCGGAAATCACAAGCTCACATTGCCACAGTGCTGTTATCATTGGCCGCCGTGTCTGCTGCTGCTTTGGGTGGGGTGGCCAGGGAGGGTGACTCCAGACAGCCTTCGAGCTGTGTCTTGCAAAGGGACCTAAGGGCCCTATGTTTCTGAAGCCTCACACCTGGACAAAGGCCAGCACGAGGAAGAAGAGGAGAAAGAGAAGCTCAGCCTCTGTTTGCCCCAGTGCACTGCTCCTTGGGTCACCAAGAAACCGACCTTTGCCCTTTGCCCTTTGCTCTTCTTTGATTTCCAAAGCCCCAAGCTGGGGCTTTTTCGGCTGGGACCTCCAGGTTGCGCTGATTCCAGCCTTCTTATCTGCCATCTTTTCCCAAGAACCTCTTTCCCCACCTACGAGACCTACGCGTCCTTCAGCAGTGGCAGAGATGGTGGACTTTCCTGCCTTGTTGCCCTAGATCCCACATTACCCAGAGCTACCCACACAGATCAGTGCCCAAATACAGAAGCAGAGGCTCCTCACTCACCCATCACCACTCCTCTGCCTCCATGACACCCCCTTGTTATACTAAGATGCTGAAAAATTAAAATAATTGATTAAAAGGTGATTAGCAAAAATAGCTAAAAGGATAGTTATTAGCAGTATTGTCATTCTGTACTGAGCTCATTACCCTAGTAACCAACCACATAGTTATAGATTAACTGACCGTGTGTTATGCTGTTCTGTAAGCGTTGCGCCCCCCCCCCCAAGTAACCTGTGTGCAATGTCAACCTTTGCTCCCCTTGTAAGAGACAAATGATGCTGTGTCAACCACTGTTCCCTTTATGAGAGACAAATGTTCCTGGAATTGGCAGACCAAGGGCTATGAGTTGGCTAACCACCCACTGTGAAATGCCTCTGACCTCAAGCAAAACGGAACAAAGGCCCACCTTATTTCTGTTTCTCATCGCTGTGTACTTAATGATCAATGAGCTAATCATAAATGAACTATAAAAATCAGTCAAAACTCTAACTCAGTTGCACAGCTTTGCAAATTCCATCTGCACTGGGTCGCTGGGCCAGCTAAAATAAAAGCGCTTCTTTTAAAAAAAGATGTCTTGCCCTCTTTATCATCTCGAGGATCTTGCCCTGGTTTTCATCATGGGGCCTTGTTTTTTGAGTGAGTTACAACACCCTCTGCCAGTAGAGGCCCCCATTCTTTGCTGGCCCCACTGGTCACAGCTGCTGGGTCTTCTTCTCAGCCGGGGCATCCAGAGTAACTCACCTTGGGGCTAGGAGGTTACCTACCTTTTCTCCAGAGGATGGGTTCTTCTGCTGCATTCTCTTTCTTTCCAGCAGAGACCCCTAGTCTCCTCTAGGCAGAAAAACACATCTTGGGCCTTTTCCTGCACACACCGAAATTCAGCCTCCTCCCAATGGTGAACAAGGCCGGATGGAAGGCCAGGCACTGGTCTCTGTGAACCCTGGAGGGCCAGGGTACTGGAGTTAGTCAAGATTTGCTCTGAACAAGGGAAACTCAGGGTCACTTGTGTCTTTGCCCGCAGCTCTGCCTTCTGTAGGAGCTTTCTCTGGGGTCATTCGGCATCAGATTAGAATTCATCTCCTCTGAGGATCCCACTCACACATCAAAGACTAAGAAGAAATGTGAATTGTATCCAACATCACACCAGATGATGACAGAAAAGCACACTGCGTACATGTCCCTTAGCCAACTACTCAAAATTCCTCTGTGGATATTTCTGTTGTCTAGACACCTCCTCTGGCAGGCCTCGGGGTGGCCGGGATACGGCACGAATTGGGATCTTTCCCCTTTTTGTCTTCTCCCCGAGTAATCGCACCTCACTAGCTCCTGGTTCATCCCTCTTAGATTTTCACAGACATGTGCAAGTTCTCTTCAAAATGCACTCAGAGCACTTCAGTTTTATTGTATCTTCACTTTCTAGCCTTGATTCCCAGGCTCATTAGCAACACCAGAACGCCTGTGGCCCTCTTAAAGAGTGCCGGGACCCATTCTTAAAAAAACAGGGAGAAATAAAGAAGGCAGAAAAGAGTTGTTGAGTGAGAACATTTTACTTCCTCTAATAGATACGATTATGGAGTTGGATACGCCAGAGTTTAAAGGCTCACGGCTCTGGTGGAAGGGGCTGGAGCCCCCACCTTCTAGGCCACCTGCCTCACAGGAAGAGCTGCAGCGGAGCCAACCTGAATTCCAAAATTGCTCAACCCACTCCGGGAAGCCCGAGGCAGTAGCATGGCGGGACCCACCTGATGGGCACCTTTGCATCTGGAATCCTCTGCAGCCTTAAAACGCTCCGCCCACAGAAGCAGGACCATGTCACACTCCCCAGAGCATGGTCACCATCACTTGGGAATCTGCTGGTAAGTGGTGCTGTTGGCTCTGGCTGTGCACTGGGAAGATGTCCTTCCCTGCTTTTAGCAGGGTAGCTCTGCAGAATGTGTGCTTCAGAATCAGGAAAAATCGGGGAGCCAACAATAGAAAGCAGGTTTATACTAATATGCAACCTCTTATCCTTTCGGCCATTCTTAGTTTTTGGTGAGGAGGTTTAAATACTATCAATATATGTATTTTCAGGTTTTAATATTTTAAAAATTACTCAAGTAATATATAAATATGTGTTCATTATAAAGACACCCAAATATTATATGCTCCCTTTGCCTTGTGCCAATTTCTTTACCCTGTTTACACAATTAACCCCCATTAGTAGCCTGGGATGATTTATATCTGAACTCGTGTCGTACAAGTTGTTCATCCATATGCCTTGTTTCCTGGGAGATCATTTTATATCAGTACAGAAAGGTCAATCGCGTTCTTTTCTTGTATTTAAATGTACGTGTGCTTTGGACTAGTAACACATCTATGTCTGCTTCTGCAAAAGCTGCCCTCAGGCTGGCGGGAAACCTTGAGACCCTTTCCTCTGGAGGCTCCCCAGTCCCCCTGTCCCTCCCCTGAACTCTGTATTCTCATGTCTTTGGGTAGAGGGAGGGGACAGAGAAGCCGCAGCCCTGCCCTGAAGGATTGGACCTGGTCTCCTCTTACGCCCTCATTTTAATGGTAAGAAACCAAGCCCACCCCCCTCCTGTCCTCAGCCCCGTGGACCCTAACTGAGGTCCCTCCTTGGTGGCTCTGCTGGGAAGCAGGTCTTTGAGCTCCCTGGGTGTAAGTGCCAGAAGTCTCTTGCCACGTACAAATGCACTCGCTGTTTCTTTCTGGTAAGGAGGGACAGTCTAAGTTAGCTGGGGTGGAGCAGGGAGAAGAGTCCTCACACACCCATCTGCACCGTATCATGTGAGACACACCCTGACTCAGTCACTGTCCTTGTTTCCGGGACAAAATACCCAACACCTGCCATTGAAGGGAGGCGAGGCTTATTTTGGCCGATCTTTCAGTCCCTGGTTCGCTGGCTCCAAAAAAGAAACAGCAGGACAGAGGGGCACAGGGCCGAGGAATCGCGCTGCTTGTTCTGGAAGGAGGGAGATGCCCCCTTCCAGGTCACACCCCCGTGACACTGCTTTTCCCGTCTCCTAAACCACAAGTCAGCTACACCACCTCGCAATCCAGTCACCCTCCAAAGGTCCCACCCACCGCTCAGATGAAGGACTGAGGGCACTGGATAATTTTGTGGTTAGGAACATAGACTCTGGGACCCACAGTCTGGGTTTGAATCCTGATTCTCCCCCTCTGTTGCTGTTTTTTTTTTTTTTTTTTTTTTTTTTTCCAGTCCTAAGAATTGAACCTAATACCTTTGTCCTGAGCTGATCCTGTAACAGGGTCGAGGTTGCCCAGGCTGGGCTACAACTTGTGATCTTCCTGGCTCTTGTCTGGCACTGACTTCCCTTTTGACTGTCTCTGTGACCTTAGGCAAGTTACTCAAATTCTCCATGCCTCAGTTTCCCCATATATAAAGTGGGCTATTATACTGAAATGGAGAAGCATCTGGTGCTCCCCTTTTTTTGTGTTGGCCAGAGAGGGGAGAGGTTTGGCTGAAGGCTGTGGCACCCTCCCCTCACTTTCCTTTACCCCCACCCTCCAGCGGAGAGACAGCCTGCCTCAGTGTCCCCTCCCCCCAGCCACTCACATAGGAGCAAAGCTCAGCTGTCAGCCTCTGTGCTCCTCCCCCACTCCCACCACTTCAGACACTGCGGCTGCCTCTTAGAGGAAGGGAAGTAGCTTAATAATGTGGCTAAGATAGGAGAGGGAGGGATTTGGGCCCATTATTAACATTCCCAAGCTCCCCACACCACACAGCTAACCCTCTAAAGATTCCTCAGTTTCAACCCTGTAATCTCACACAGAGATGTGACAGCTGTCAATCAGCCATTGTTTATTGCCCCCCCACACACACACTGCACTGCAGTCCTGACAGTTGGAACCGCCCTGGAGTCCCAACATAATTCAACCAATCACAGGTGTACACTTAGACCAATTAGCAGACACAAATTTAAACCAATCACAGGTCTATAATTGTACCAATCACAGGCCTGCACCTGCTGCATAAGGAGCCTCTCCTCACATTTCTAGAATTAGTCTAACATGGTCTCCTCTGTTATACTAACCCATCTCCCCCCATTCCTTGCCTGGTGGAAGCACAGGCTGGTGCCCAATGAGGCGTATTAGATGTGGGAGATATTTGCTGATGGCTCTGCCTACCCTGGGTGGACAGTCACTGATGAGTCCCTGTTCAGGTTACAGTGACTAAGAGCTGAGCCTTACAGCTCTAAATTTTCCAGCTCCCGCAGAGAGGTGCACATACAGAGCTCATGCAGGGGCACACTCAAGCTCGGGGTCCTGGTCAGATCTGGGACACAGTTGTGTCCACATGTGGACCGAAGAGGGAGAAGTTGGCACAGCTGGTGACAGATTCTGCATTTGTTTGATTTGCCCCTGAGGGAGGCAAAGGGCACCTTCTCCTAAGACAGCAGCTTTCCTTACTCTCCTCTTCCTGATAGAGTCAGGGGAAAAGAGAGATTCACAAACTTGGGGAAATAGGGAACTCAACAGCATTCTATGCCAGGTCCCCAGGCTCCTAGGTCCCCAGGAACCCAGCCCCTTTTCTGTGACTCATTGCAAGAGTGTAAGGACTGGATGAGATATTTTGGCTCAGAGCTCTGTGACATCTTGTCTCATGTACGACCCACAGACTACGGAGATTGTATATGTGATCTAAAAATGCCCATCCATGAGTGTCCAACAATGTGACTTGACTGGGCCATATTGAGTGAAGAAGAATCTTCTTGGGTTGCATATAAAATGTATAATAGAGTTAAGGTAGAGGAGTAACAAGATTTCTTTGCTTTTAAATATTTTTACTATAACATAAAAGGGACACAGGGAGACAGGTAATAGGTTGCATATACCTGGTCACCAGTGATTTATATTGAGATCTGGCCTAAGGAATCTTCCTAGTGGGGTGAAAATAGTCAAGGTATTCAGTCTCCAATCTCATCCATTAGCATGACTTGGGGAACTTTTAAAATATCCAGATACCAGGGGCAGGAGGTTTAGCTCAGCGGCATAAGCACCTGCCTTGCAAGCAGGCAGTGGTAAGTTCGATCCCCGGTACCGATAAAAAGGAAAAAGACAAAAAAAAAAAAAAAAAAAAAAAAAAATCCAGATACCTAGGCTTTATTTCCCAGAGAATCTCGTTCAGTTAGTTTGAACAGGGTTCTAGATATGGGTCTTTTATAAATGACTGTGATGTAATTCTAGTGTGTAGTTATGGTTGGAATCCACCGAATCAAATCAATCATTCCAGATAAAAACATATTTTAACCTTATTAAATATATTATAATGGTTGATTTAAGTCCTTATCTATTAATACCAGTATCTGGGTTGTATTAGTTTTAGCTGTTGTTAACTATCTTGTCTCTTAAGACTATGTCACATTTTAACTGGGCATGATGCTCACACTGTAATCCCAGCCCTTTGGGAGGCTGAGGCAAGAGAATCATAAGTTTTAGCCCAGTCTGGCCAATTTAGTGTCTCGAATTTTTAAAATAAATAAATAAAAGGGCTGGAGATATGGTTAAGCATGAAGGCTCTTGGTTCAATCCCCAGTACCAGGAAAAAAAGAATATGTCACATTTTATTTGTGTGTTGAACAATTTTGAATTGCATTCTGGACATCATGATTCAGGATTCTGTTATATTCCTGTTAAGAGTATTTTTGTTTTTATCAGCTATCACTTTGGTTAGAATCAAGTTACAAATTCTATTAGAGTGGACCCTTGAGTTAGGACTGGCCAGACGTACAAACAACTTGGGATATGGTCAGAATTTCAGTTTAACTTTTTAAACATTTTTTTATTTTTGAAGAGAATAAAACCAAATGAGAAAAAACAAAATGGGATCAGTCAAAACAAAAGGATGGACATAGTACATGATTTAAAACCAAAATACAAGGTGATCTACAATGGTTACCATGATGTCTCTTGTTATCTTCAATAAAATTGCCCATATCATCAGGCACATAAAATTGAACATAGAAGTACAGAACAAAATCAATAAAAACTAAAACATTAGAGACAGTATGGGACTTCAAAAGAAGATAATAGGCAAACCAGAATGGGTATCAGTGAATCTTACTGTCTTCAAAGTAGTTGCCTATACCCTCCGACTTGATATTATCCAACAAAACAGGTTCAAATAAAATTGGTCAAAACAAGACAGTGAAAACAATACAGGGCTTCAAATCAAGCTAATAGGAAATCAAAAATGGTTACCATAATATATCCTGCTATCTTTGGAATAGCTGTCCATGCCATCAAATCTAGTACAAGTAGACAAACTGGACAGAATAAAATCAAACTAAACAGAACGATGAGAACGATATGGGTTTCAAATCATGATACAATATTAACAATGGCCACTGCCTTCCCCTTTTAGATAGTTCCTCCCTTTTCATGTTCACAGGATGCGGTATACATTTTGCATCCCACTAACTCCTTTAGTTTTTAGATTAGGGAGGCACCCCACTATTTACCTAAGTGGTTCCGAACCTTTTTACCCCTGAGCTTGATCTCAAGTTGTATCCATATACCTACAAGAGCCTCAAGGTTTTCCTTCCCTATAGCTGAGTAGTTTTCAATTGTATAAGAGTGTTATATCTTAAAAAAAAAAAAGAGTGTTATATCTTTCCAACTAATCTGCAGCTGAAGGGCGAGGTACCCCCACTTTTTTCTGGTTCCTTGACACATACACCATTATTTTCTCAATCTATAGACTTTCAGCCTTTAAACCTTCTTTCAGGTTAATTATATTTCTTTAAGAGCATCTTGATGGACCCTTTCTCCTGATCCACTCTGCCTGTGTATTGAGGCCATCTATATTAGTGATTTTGGCCCACCTTCTCTGCCTTGT